ATTTTATAAGCACAAGAAATTTCAAAATCCCGAATTTAAATTTATTTACATATATTTTTAGAGAAGTAGGATAAAAAATAAATGTAAGACTTTCAAGCATAAAAATACAATATACTGCTGGGTGCACTGGCATGCACCTATAGTCCCAGCTACTCAGGAGGAGTCCAGCCTGGACAATATAGATGGTGAGACCTTGTCTCAATTTTTTAAATTTTTTAATTTGTGTGTGTTTCTGTCTCAGTTATTTTTTAAAAAACAACAATATGCTGTGTTTACATTGTTATCAGGAGCTAGGTGCAGTGGCTTATGCATATAATCCTAGCACTTTTTTGGGAGGCCGAGGCACGTGGATCACCTGAGGTCAGAAGTTTGAGACCAGCCTGGCCAACATGGCGAAACCCCATCTCTGCTAAAAATGCAAAAATTAGCTGGGCATGGTGGTGGGCACCTGTAATCCTGGCTGCTCAGGAGGCTGAGGCAGGAGAATGGCTTGAACCCGAGAGGCAGAGTTTGCAGTGAGCCAGGATGGCACCATTGCACTCCAGCCTGGGGGACAAGACCAAAACTCCATCTCAAACTAAAGAAAAATTTGTATCAGGAAAATGAAATCGAGATACAAATTCTCTACTGGTTAGGAAGAATTCATGTATAGTTTTTTTTAAATGCATGATGGTATATATATCATCATTATGGAATGTAGGTTATATTGGATACATTTTAAAGAGTGAAATAACCATTTTAATATATTAATCATAAAAGTTTTAAATGTTAACATAAGTTTCCAAGAATTTAACAGTTTTTCAAAAGTATTTTAACAGATTTCTGAACAAAATATTTTAATTATCATTGCCAAGGTCAGCACTAGGGTGAGGCAAGAAGGCACCTAGAGTGCAAAATTGAAGGAGATTCTTACTCTCAGGGCTCTGCAAGTACAGCATCAGCACTTAGGGGTACCTAACAGTGAGTGCCTCCCTAAATTAGGCACCCTAGGATGCTTGCTCATCCTAGTTCCAAACCTGGTCACTAGATTATTTAACATAAGAAATTCGCATGTGAATAATTGGCTTTAGAAAAAAATAATTGCAAACATCAATCATTTTTCCATCAACTGCTTTTAATTTGTTTTTTAGGGTGGGATTAAAAACTCAGCCTGAATCAAAATGCCCTGAGCTGCTTGCCAATTACTGTGACATGTTGCTAAGAAAAACACCATTAAGCAAAAAACTAACCTCCGAAGAGATTGAAGCAAAGCTTAAAGAAGTGGTACATAATGTTTTGTATTTCAACTTTTAAAACTACCTTACTTTGAATTTGTGTTTTGCTTACAGGACTTCCTGTGATAGTATCAATTTAAAAATGTATTATGTGTAAAGAACTAGTGTTATGAAGTTTTACAGTGCAAGACCTCTAAGGGGGGTTATTTTTCTTTCTGAAAATGTTTATTCTACAGCTTCTTGAAGGGAATACCATTTAATTCCTCTCCTTTCTTGATTATTTTTAGAAATTAAGTTCTGGCTACTAATACAAGACATATCTTTCCAACAAATTTGGAATGATAGTTGAGAGATTGGGAATTTTTCACTCCTTCCTTTTGGTGAGAGTCCAAGATAGATAGCAAGGGATGAGTGAGAGGAGATTAAGTAGTTGCTTTCATCTTTGTCACCCAGTTGTTAGTGTAATGATATAAGCCCAGGAATACAAACAAGAAAAAAAAATAAGATATTGGGCAAGTGTAGACAGAAAGGCCCAGAGAGATAATTAGTGTCAGAAAAAAATGTGGAAAAGATAAGTAGAAGAGACACTTGCGGGGGGAGAAAAAAACATTGATTTTTTTCATGTAAAGTATATCGTTGCATTTTATATAAAATCTAAAAAACTGATATTTAGAGCAACTACAATTTTATTTGGTTATAGTCTCAATTTTGCTAACTTTTAAAGTAGTGTATCAAGACTGGGTGTTTCTCAGAGATGGATAATTTAGTAGGCCTCTATCTATATGCTTATAAAAATTTCTGACTTGTGACAGTTGGTGGATATAGGAAGGTCTAAATTCGAGAGATGACTAAGAGTATATAAGAACTGAAGGTAACTTTGTTTTTCATACAGCTCTTGGTACTTAAGTATGTACAGAACAAAGATGTTTTTATGAGGTATCATAAAGCTCATTTGACACGACGTCTTATATTAGACATCTCTGCCGATAGTGAAATTGAAGAAAACATGGTAGAGTGGCTAAGAGTAAGTAAATTTTAAAAAATATTTGGTTTTCTAATATATTGCATCATTTATATATGTGCTTAAGTAATACATTTCGGAGATATTGTTAATGTAAAAGAAGTAGGAAACATTTTATAAGAATATAGCATCAATTAGGCCAGACACAGTGGCTCGTACCTGTAATCCCAGTACTTTGGGAGGCCGAGGCAGGTGGATCACCTGAAGTCAAGAGTTCAAGACCAGCCTGGCCAACATGGCAAAACCCTGTCTCTACTAAAAATGCAAAAATTAGCTGGATGTGCTGGTGCACTCCTGTAATTCCAGCTGCTTGGGAGACTGAGGCAGGAGAATCACTGGAACCCAGGAGATGGAGGTTGCAGTGAGCCGAGATCACGCCATTGCACTCCAGCTTGGGTGACAGAGCAAGACTGCATTTCAAAAAAAAAAGAATATAGCATCAATTATGTAAAATAAAGTGATATCTAATAAATGTTCTTAATACTTTTAGTAAAAGTGTCTTTGTTCTTGAGTTGTTTCTACTGTTTCACTCTCATTTGTACCTCAACTCTTGTTTAAACTGACCTTATTAATAAATAGACTACAGGGGCCAGGCGTAGTGGCTCACGCCTGTAATCCCAGCACTTTGGGAGGCCGAGACGGGCGGATCACGAGGTCAGGAGATGGAGACGATCCTGGCTAACATGGTGAAACCCCATCTCTACTAAAAATACAAAAAAATTAACCAGGCGTGGTGGCGGGTGCCTGTAGTCCCAGCTACTTGGGAGGCTGAGGCAGGACAATGGTGTGAACCCAGGGGGCGGAGCTTTCAGTGAGCCAAGATTGTGCCACTGCACCCCAGCCTGGGTGACAGAGCGAGAATCCATCTCAATAAATAAATAAATAAATAAGTAGACTATTATATCTTTAAGGTATTTTCAGGAATGAATGCTTAACTTTAGAGATGTTTATAAATAATAACAAATCTGTACAGCAAAAAGAACCTTTAAATGATGGCCTATTTAGGGAATCAATGCTGATTATAACTAAATTCCAATATAAAAATTTTTGAGTTTTTTTTGTTTTAATTATTAAAGTAAATGTCTTTCATTTCTGTGTATGTATCTCTCTCCATATATATATATATGGAGAGAGAGAGAGAGTGCGAGCGAGCACACACAAGAGAGACCTACAGATATTTTAACTTACGGATAGCCCTTTGCATGGCACTGTAGGATAGTAAAAATGACTGTGCTAACTGAAACTGCTTAGTAGGAAAATGAATGATTATTCTGTGACTTTTAAAAACTACTGTCAAAAGACTCAAAACTCTTACTGTCACTTATAAATATATAGGAAAAAGGGAAAAATAGCAAAACTAATACGTATTTACTACGAGAAACCTTTAGAGTTAAATTACTTTTTTCTTTCTTTCTTTTTTTATTTGGAGACAGAGTCTTTGCTGTGTTGCCCAGGCTGGATTGCAGTGGTGTGATCTTGACTCACTGAAACCTCCATCTCCCAGATTCAAGCAATTCTCCTGTCTCAGCCTCCTAAGTAGCTGGGACTACAGGCTTGCGCCATGACACCTGGCTAATTTTTGTATTTTTAGTAGAGACGGGGTTTTGCGTTTTGGCCAGGCTGGTCTTGAACTCCTGGGCTCAGGTGATCCTCCTGCCTCAGCCTCCCAAAGTACTGAGATTATAGACATGAGCCACCACGCCTGGCCTACGTTATTTCTTTGTTAAAAAAAAAAAATACCAAGACCCAACAGTAAAATGACAAATAAGGCCAGCCATGGTGGCTCACACCTGTAATCCCAGCACTTTGGGAGGCTGGGGTGGGAGGGCAGATGGCTTGTGCTTGGAGTTGGAGACGAGCCTGAGGAACGTGGTGAAACTCCATCTCTACAAAAAATACAAAAATTAGCTGGGCATGGTGACATGCACCTTAGTCCCAGGTGCTTGGGAGGCTGAGGTGGGAGGATCGCCTGAGCCTGTGAGGTGGAGGTTACAGTGAACAGAGATCATACCACTGTACTCCTGCCTGAGCAACAGGGTCAGGTCCTGTCTCCCTCACTCACACACACACAAGACAAATAATTAAAAGCAGGCAAAGGTTTGGAATTGACGTCTCTTCACAGAAGATACACAAATGGCCAATAAGTGCATGCAAAGATACTCAACATCATTAGTCATTAGTGAAATGCAAGGAGAGGCTGGACTTGGTGGCTCCCGCTTATCCCAAATACTTTGGAAGGCTGGGGTGGGAGGATCGCATGAAGCCAGGAGTTAGAAACCACCCTGGGCAACATAACAATACCGAATCTCTACAGAAATTAGCTAGGCATGGTGATGTGTGCCTGTAGTTCTAGCTACTCGGGAGGCCGAGATGGGTTGATCGCTTGAGCCCAGAAGTTCAGAGTTGTAATGAGCTGAGATCGTGCCACTGCACTGCAGCCTGGGCAACAGAGTGAAACCCTTTCTCAAAAACAAACAAACAAAAAAACACAAAGAGGTACTACTTTATTCCCACTGGGGTAGCTAAAATACAGACAGACAATAACAAATGTTAGTAAGGAAGAGGAGAAATTGGAACCTTCATAAGTTGCTAGTGGGGATATAAGATGGTGCAGCCACTTTGGAAAACTGTTGGGCAGTTCCTTAAAATGTTAAACAGAGTTGACCCAGCAATTTCGCTCTTAGGTAGTTCATTTGAAGAGAAATGAAAACGTGTTTCATGTGAAAACTTGTAAACAAATGTTCATGGCAAGATTACTAATAATAGTCAGAAAGTGGAAACATCCCAAAATGTCAGTGAGCTAATGAATAAAATGTGATTTGTCCATAGAATAGAATATTTTTTGTGATAAAAAGGAATGAAGTACCAATACATGCTACAATATTAGATGAACTTTGAAAACATAATGCTAAGCGAAAGAAGCCAATCCCAAAGACCATATCATATGATTCCAGTAATATGAAGTGTCCAGAATAGGCAAATCCACAGACACAGACAGTAAATTAGTGACTTGCAGGAGTTGGGGCCAGGAGGGGAAATGAGGAGTGACTGTAAATAGTATGGGGTTTCTTTTTGGGGTGATGGAAATGTTCTAAAATTAGATAGTGGTGATAGTTGCACACCTCTGGGAATATGCTAAACTTTATTAAATCGTGTACTTTATCTTATTTTTATTTTTATTTTTTTTGAGACAGAGTCTCACTTTGTTGCCCAGGCTGGAGTGCAATGGTGCGATATCGGCTCACTGCAACTTTGGCCACCCGGGTTCAAGCAATTTTCCTACCTCAGCTTCCTGAGTAGCTGGGATTACAGGCGTGTGCCACCAAGCCCGGCTAATTTTTCTATTTTTAGTAAAGATGAGTTTCAGCATGTTGGCCAGACTGGTCTCAACCTCCTGACCTCAGGTGATCCACCCACCTCGGCCTCCCAGAGTGGTGGGATTACAGGCGTGAGCCCGACCAAATTGTATACTTTAAAAGGGTAAATTTTATGGTAAATTATCTGACTCAGTAAAGCTGTTAATAAAGAGTAGTCTGAGACCGGGCGTGGTGGCTCATGCCTGTAATCCCAGCATTTTGGGAGGCCAAGGCGGGTGGATCACGAGATCAGGAGATCGAGACTATCCTGGCTAACCCAGTGAAACCCCGTCTCTACTAAAAATATAAAAAAATTAGCCCAGCGTAGTGGCGGGCGCCTGTAGTCCCAGCTACTCAGGAGACTGAGGCAGGAGAATGGTGTGAACACAGGAGGCGGAACTTAAACAGTGAGCCAAGATCGCGCCACTGCACTCCAGCCTGGGCGACAGAGCAAGACTCTGCCTCAAAAAAAAAAAGAAAAAAAGAGTAGTTTGAATAGCTCTTGCCTTCTTGTGTAACTTGACAGAGTAAGCATCTTTTCTTTGCCTTGGGGAGTTGTCATACCCCCTGTAATTTAGATCATCTAGCATTTTATCTTTTGGGCTTTCAGTGTCATGAAATACTGCAAATTCCTTTATAGCATTTTTGCCAGGATCACTTCCTCTAGGGTATCTTATCTTTTTTGTCACTCACCACTTTTATCTTTTATGTTGATAATTTGCCTTCACTAAGTTCCTCAACACTGGCATTATCAGCCTGACAACCACAGTCAGCTTTCTTCTGTAACTCCATTTTTGTTCTATTTTACTTTCATTTCTAGCATTATCACTTTTCATTTCCTCAGTTTACTTTTGTCATCTTTGTGTGCCAATTATCTTGTTTGATTATTCTTTTTTATAAGTTGTCATGTGGGTTTATTACTGGAAGCCAAGGATACAATGAAACTGCACACTTTGCTCTCTGTGGTTTAACTGAATAAACAAATGACTGATAGATTGTATTTACATTTTTTTAAATGTATTTATTTTATTTTTTTAACAAACAGGATCTTCTGTTGGCCAGGCTGGAGTGCAGTAACACAATCAGAGCTCAAACTCCTGGGCTCAAGCAGTCCACCCACCTCAGCTTTCCGAGTAGCTGGGACTATTGGCAGTATGCCACCATATCCCGCTAACTTTTAAAAATTTTTGGTAATGATGGGGTCTCACTGTGTTGCCCAGGCTGGTCTTAAAATCCTGGCTTCAAGTGATCCTCCTGCCTCAGCCTCCCAAAGTGCTAGGATTACACACCATGCCAACTAATTGATTTTGAAAGACGTATTATGATTAGTCACTGTTATTTTTGTCATGATTTGTGGATCGAAGAACTAGAAATAAAGTTTTTACTTTATGCAGTTACACATTTATTATATGGTGTCAACTGAAAGTTGAGCTTTGTTCTTGGAGAATTGGTATTATGTAACTGCGCTGTGGTAACTGAAATTCATACATACTAAAATTACACAAAGCAGGGACCCCTTGTAATACCGTATTTTGTTTCTAAGAGCAAATTTCATAGGTATTAGACAATAAAATTCTAATAAATAAGAGAGAAAAATTTTGTATTAAAACATCTAAGACTTAGTTTTTTCATTAAAAATTTTCCCAGTAGTATATCAGATTATGTATTTATTACCTCTTCCGTCTTTGATTTTTATAGGAAGTTGGTATGCCAGCGGATTATGTAAACAAGCTTGCTAGAATGTTTCAGGACATAAAAGTATCTGAAGATTTGAACCAAGCTTTTAAGGAAATGCACAAAAATAATAAATTGGCATTACCAGGTATTATTTTATAATTACATATATATTTTTTAAACTTAGAAAAAAGAATATCTTTGTTTTCCAGTAAATTAAAAATAAACCTCAGCAGTAATAGATCGAAAGATGTTATGAAGTCCATTTCCTTGGAGACAGCTATCAAAGCAGTGTGTTAGATTTGCAGATCTTTATTTCAAAACAAAAGGACACTTTTAACAAAATCTTTATAGTCTTACTGATTTTTCACCCAAAGTTACCCTGTATTTATTTTGAATTTTATCCATTGTTAAGATAATTTACTTTATATTCCTGATATTGTTCTGTATAGCTGATTCAGTTAATATAAAAATTCTGAATGCTGGTGCCTGGTCAAGAAGTTCTGAGAAAGTCTTTGTCTCACTTCCTACTGAACTGGAGGACCTGATACCAGAAGTAGAAGAATTCTACAAAAAAAATCATAGTGGCAGAAAATTACATTGGCATCATCTCATGTCAAATGGAATTGTAAGTAGATAGTGTGTTTGTTACTTCAGCTTTCAGTTTGGATGAAATTAGCAGGACTCCACAGAAGAATTGCTTAAACAAAATAGATTTTCGCCTCTCTCATGTGTAAAAGTTTGAGCAGAAATAGTGAAATTTTTTCATGAAGTTGTTAGGGACATAGGCTTCTGCCCTTGTCCTCAGGATTCAACATGATCCCAGCTATCTCAGTCTTCCTGGCAACAAAAAGCAAAAGGTGAGGGTAGCTTATACCTTTCATTAGGGACAACTTCTAGAAGTTTCCTCTGTCATTTCCATTTGCATCACATTGGCCAGTACTCAGTCTCGTGGCCACATTTTGTTACATGGAAAGCTGGGAGATAAGCATGTATTCTGGGCAGTCATTAATGTCTTCTAAAATGTTTATTACTGTGAAAGCAAGAGTGGATATTGGAAGACAGCAGCCTTTTTCATATATAAATTCATGTCATTGATTCTTATTTATTAAAAATCTATTTTATCTATTGTAGATAACATTTAAGAATGAAGTTGGTCAGTATGATTTGGAGGTAACCACGTTTCAGCTCGCTGTGTTGTTTGCATGGAACCAAAGACCCAGAGAGAAAATCAGCTTTGAAAATCTTAAACTTGCAACTGAACTCCCTGATGCTGAACTTAGAAGGACTTTATGGGTTGGTTTATGTTTTTTTGTTTTTAAGATTGTATCCTCTCAAGTAGCAGGAAATATATGATTGGCTTGTAATATATTATTAAATTCATAACAGTTTCAAAAGGTCTTATCATGAAAAATAGAGGCCGGGCACAGTGGATCACGCCTGTAATCCCAGCACTTTGGGAGGCTGAGGTGGGCAGATCACTTGAGGTCAGGAGTTCAAGACCAGCCTAGTGAAACCCCATCTGTACTAAAAATACAAAAATTAGCTGGGTGTGGTGGCACGCGCCTATAATCCCAGCTACTTGGGAGGCTGAGGCAGGAGAATCGCTTGAATTCAGGAGGCGGAAGTTGCAGTGAGCCGAGATTGCACCACTACACTCTAGCCCAGGCGACAGAGTCAGACTCCGTCTGGGGAAAAAAAAAAAATATATATATATATATATATATAAAAAATACGTATATATATAATTATGTATATTATTATATATATACATCCCCACATACTAGTGAGATATTTATGAAAAAAATAAATTGCCAATAGGTGGGTTAACAAGGCAGAAAAAAGTGCTTCAAAAAAAAGGAGAGGCCAGGAGCAGTGGCTCATGGCTGTGATCCCAGCACTTTGGGAGGCCAAGGTGGGAGGAGAGGATTGCTTGAACTGAGGAGTTTGCAACTAGCTAGGCAACATAGTGCAATCCCATCTCTAAAAACAAACAAACAAAAATTAGCCAGCTTGGTGGCTGTATCCCCAGCCACTTGGAAGGCTGAAGTGGGAGGATTGCTTGAGCCCAGGAGGATGCAGTGAGCCACAATCATGCCACTGCACTCCAGCCTGGGCAACATGGTGAGACCCATCTCAAAAAATTTTTTTTTAAAAAGGGAAAGATTGAGTTGGTATTTAAGTTTTACCTGTGAGGAACGTGACCAGCTATGTACTTTGGGTTTGTTTTTTTTTTTTCTTTTTGAGACAGTTTCGCTCTTGTCACTCAGGCTGGAGTGCAATGGCACAATGTCAGCTCACTGCAACCTCCGCCTCCCAGGTTTAAGCAACTCTCCTGTATCAGCCTCCCAAGTAGCTGGAATTACAGGGATGTGCCCCTACATCCAGCTAATTATATATTTTTAGTAGAGATGGGGTTTCACCATGTTGGTCAGGCTGGTCTCAAACTCCTGACCTCAGGTAATTTGCCCGCCTCAGCCTCCCAAAGTGCTGGGATTAAAGGCCTGAGCCACCGTACCTCATATACATACTTAATTTTTATACTGAGAATGTGTTCAGAGGTTTTATGATGACCAAAAATCTAAAAGCAAACTTTGGTCTGTTTGAGGACTTGTAGATTGTACTCATTATCCCCCTGCTCACAACTACATTTTATTCCTACTCCATAAACTTCTTAAAGTTCCAGTTTTTTTTTTTGAGACAGGCTTGCTTTGTCATCCAGGTTGGAGTTCAGTGGCGCAATCTTAGCTCACTACAACCTTCACCTCCCAGGTTCAAGCGATCCTCCCACCTCAGTCCCCCTAGTAGCTGGGACTACAGGGGCATGCCCCATGCCTGGCTAAATTTTGTATTTTCAGTAGAGACGGGGTTTCGCCATGTTGCCCAGACTGGTTTCAAACTCCTGAGCTCAAGTAATCTGCCTGCCTCAGCTTCCCAAAGTGCTGGAATTACAGGCGTGAGCCACTGCACTTGGCCTGAAGTTCCAAAATTAATTATTACCTATGGAGGAAATAGCTGGTATATAACTGGCAGATGGTGTCTACTATGGTCCTGCGTGACCAATCCCAGTTTCTTGTCTTATTGTAAAGAGAGCATTTATTGCTTTCTCATAACCAACTCTTTTCATCTCCTCTCTTTCCTCATTATGCATTCAAATGTTATACTCATGGAAGTACCAAACATTTTAAGTTTGTGTTTGTAATCTTTTTCTTGCCTATGTTGATTATGTGGGAGAATTGATCTTAGTATTCCATACTGTTTATAGATGCTAATTGTTTTCTCCTTATTCTTCCTAGTCTTTAGTAGCTTTCCCAAAACTCAAACGGCAAGTTTTATTGTATGAACCTCAAGTCAACTCACCCAAAGACTTTACAGAAGGTACCCTCTTCTCAGTGAACCAGGAGTTCAGTTTAATGTAAGCTTGTTAGTTGATCTAAAATAACACCTTGTTTGAATTTTAGCACTTTGTTTTTTGCAAAATAATTACTTTCCTTACATTATATTTAAAACATAACTAGATACTGTCATCACTCTAAACTTACGTCATTTAGTTGTTTATGGAAAATATTAATCAGATGTTTACTACTTTACTATATTTTTCATTGATACATTTTTGGTCTCTGACTTTATACTATGTTGCATTTCGTCTTTCAGGTTGATATCCTTTTGTGCTATAAAGCAGCTTTGTTCAGACAAAGCTTTTTGTTTATTTGTTTGTTTTTGTTAAGACCCGGTTAGGGCCGGGCGCGGTGGCTCAAGCCTGTAATCCCAGCACTTTGGGAGGCCGAGATGGGTGGATCACAAGGTCAGGAGATCGAGACCATCCTGGCTAACACAGTGAAACCCCGTCTCTACTAAAAAATACAAAAAACTAGCCGGG